AGTTGTCTGTACTCACTAAATGACTAGAATGAGATTTGGTTGATAACTGCTAAAACAAGGGGACAGATTGGGATGATGAAGGGGGCAGGCTACAGAGTGATAATAGGGCTGGGAAATGAACAGGTGCAGGAGGGATGATTTGAAGAGCAGGAAAAAACAATCAGAGTTCTGAGGAGCCATGAGTCTTAGAGAAGACTCTTTTGTTTGGACAGATGTCAAAGTGGAGACAAAACCCAATGGAGACACAGATGGCTACTCAAGTAACCCGAGAGGTAAATGTAGGAATTGTATAGTCATTAGAGGAAAGATAAACCTTAGTCTATGTTCTTATTCCATCTCTACTACCTGTGAAAATCTGAAGCACAAGAATCACAATCATATATGCTTCCATATTTTGAAAAAAAAAAAACCAAAAAAACAAAAACCATAGCCTCAACCTTATAAGATCTGTGTGAATCTAGAAAGGACTAATGCAGTAATGCAGTTAAAGTGCTTAGGAACTGACTGGATAATAATGCATTGATGTGTACATCTGGGACTATAGAAACTGGTCAATGTAAATCTAATATCATGGAAAATAATAGAATAGTCAACAAATTACTTCCCATTACTCAGAGGAGTAGGAGATATTGTACAACAATTCAAGTTGGATATCCAAACAGACAAATAATGTCAGATCAATTTAATTTTTCTTACTTGATGAATATTAGGCTAGGTCTTTTAAGTAAAGGTAAAAATATAAAGTACAACTGAACTGTGTCTTTGTCTGTTTCCATGGTGTTCTTAAGGCCATACTGCAAGAAATTCTTTAGATCACCATGTCCCACAAGAGTGCTTTGTAGAAAGCTATTGAGTGTTCAATGAAATAAGTTTGGGAAATACTGTCAAACAAGTTACTTTACAGCAGAACTTATTAGATATTTCTAATAGTATGGTGTGAATATGTCAAAGTAAGTATAATAGAATTTTCTAATTATTTTGCCATAAAATTTAGAGAGTGTGTGTGTTTTGGTGTATAATGTTTATAGGCAGGTGTTCACATGTATACATCTGGTATATATTTGCCATGTTTCATGTATAGAGGTCAGAAGATAGCCTTAGGTGTCAGTAGCTGCCTTACACCTTGAGAGAGGGTTTCTTGTAGTTTGCTGCTTTATAACCTTGACTAGCTATAGCACTGGTTCTCAACTTTCTTAATGTTCTGGTCCTTTAATACAGTTCTTCATGTCATGGTGATCCCTGGTCATTGCTATTTCATAACAGCAATTTTGCTAATGTTTTGAATAATAATGTCTTTTCTGAAAGTCTTAGGTGACTGCTGTGAAAGTGCTGTAAAAGGGGTTGCAACCCACAGGTTGAGAACCACCATTCTGCCGTCTTCTCTCTCTCCACCTCTCATCTCCATGTAGGAGTGCTGGGATTACAGATGTGCACTACCATATCTAGCTTAAAGTGGGTTCTATGTATATGATCTCATGACCTCATACTTTTATATAAATTGCTTTACCCACTGAGCCATCTCCCAGGACTGTCACAGAGTTTTTCTAAGGGTAGAAGAATGAACACAGTTTGAGAAACAGACATCGAGACATTACATTTTTCTGGAGATAAGGCCTTTACAAGGAGATTGTTAAGTTCCATGTTAAAATAAAATATGGCTTATGTTACATATACCACACTTGCATATGCATGCCTTAGTGATAAAAGTTTGGGAATTGCTACTGAATACCTTTATTCATGATCTGTACAATAGGAATCAAGAGAATCATGATTAGGCATAAGGTTGGACAGAGCTTCTCTCTACTTGGAAAATAAAAATGAATTTCAAAGGACATTTAAGAATGTATTTTATTAGAAAATACTATAAAGGTCATTGGGGAGACAAAAAAATAACTTTTATATAAAACCATAAGCATTTTAAGAGAAAAGACAAAAATCTTTATGAACATGCATATGTCTTTGAAGATACTGTATCTTAACTGTAAGTACAATGAAAAGGAGTATCATCAGAGAAGTTCTTAGTTAGCATTGGTCATGTTTATCATAGTAAAGAAGCAGAGTAGTGTGATACACCCAGAAGACTAGGGTAATTTTATTTTTTAGTATTGGTATGCCATACAATTCTTCCTTGAGGCTATATGTATCATGAGAAAGAGGCTTTGAGTTGCTCTAAAATGCAATAACTTCAAAGCTCAGGGCCTTGAAGCAAGATCCCAGTTTGAGTTGTTCCTAAATGTTAAAGTAAGTGCCCCTGAAGTGGATCTTATAATGAAAATCTCCCGCTTTCTAGCTCAGACCTGAGCAGGTATACAGAATCTCACCTTCTCCTACCTACTTGTGAATCTAAGTGTGGTGATCACTTGTGACTGGTGACATCTCCAGGCCACCAAGGTAGATGTTAAAGGTTTCAGTCTCTTCTTTTTCATTCTGATGACTTGAAGTTTGTTATGGATATGTGACATCCTAAGAGTATCTCTTAGTTGACTCACAATGCATGGAATAAAGTCACATGAGGATGTGTGTGTAAGTATATGTGCATGTGCTAACATATGCATGCATGTGAGAGCAAACAATATGGAAGAACCACGAAGGGCAGGAGGTTCTGGAAACAAAATGAAATTCAAAGAACCTTTACAAAAAAATAACATTTTATAAAAAAGAAAGTAGAGATTCCTAGGGAGGCAAGAAAGATGCTTTTTCTATAAGCATTATAGAAGAGAAGAGTTTGGTAACTTGGGTGGAAAGACCATAGTAATAAACTAGAGGGCTTCTAAGACAGATACCCAAGTAAGTGACATGCAAATTTTTTATGTGAGGATGAGATATGTGTTGTAATAAATAAAACTAGGACAAATAGAGTTTTTATACTATGTAGGAAGATATAAAGGACCAAGATCCAACACTGAAGTTAAGAAATAAATTACATTAACAAAGCTATCCAATAGAGGACAAGACTGTCTTAAATAAAATTATTTTGTATAGTCTATGAAGGCATTATGCACAGCATATTTTATGAATTAACTTCTTAATCATCTTAAAATTACTGTGAAGGAAGAACCATTATTCTCACACCAAGAATGGGAGACATGATGTTGGGGAGGACAGATTAATTGAATAGAGGAATGTGTTTGATCTTGTCATATGCTGCCTAATTGTGAAAGTATTTATTGCCATTGTTGGGTGTTTTTAATTAAAGCCTGAAATGTTAGAAAAAAGTGTTGATTTCAAGATTTTTCCACATAATTTCTAAAGTTTTTCACCAAGGTTTTGCTCTATTTATGACTGGAAAATTGAATTGACTCCTTAGCCACTATCCATATGCCATTTTGCTTCTTGAACATAGATGTGAAAGCACTCCAGGTCTTTAAAACATTTAAAAACAGAAGAGGGGATAGTTGAACAAATAGGGAAAAATCAAAGGAAGTGTGGTGTCTTGGTCAAGACTAACTAGGTGGTATTTAATATGCAAACAGTTAAGGGATGAAAAAAATTATGCCCTGGAAAATATAATAAGAACGTCATTTCAGGAAGGGATCTTCTCAGAATCAAGGTCTTCCTAGAGAAAATATTAAGCACCAATTACTTAAGGCACAGTGAGTGGAACAGGGTGATGTTGGCAGTGTCTTTAACATCAGGACATGAAGGTGAACTCTGAGCCATTTTCACTTAGGGAAAGCCTTAACTAAGTTTGACAGCTTGATGATAGGAGTTCTCAGGTAGTCAGACATATGAGACTACAACAGATAACCTCAGGAGATCCCTTCCAAAGTCATAAGTCCATGGCTTTCAATGACTACAGAAAGTTCAGAGTCCCAATAAATAAAATCACCTAGAAAAAAAACCCAACATTTCTGCATAACAGAGTTTTAATATATTAATTTTAGTAGCAAGAACTCAGTTTCTCCTTTAACATGGAGAGAAACCGAACATTCTTACAAAGAGATTCTTTGTTAACCTCTGGGAGGGGTCATTTTTGCTTCACAGAGATTTATTCTAATTTTCTGTTCCCCACACTTCATAGCTTGTTACATGGTCCATTACTCCAACATGTAACTCGATAAAGCTTGGGTTCTTGTGATATTGCTTTTCAGCTCCAGCTTTCCCAGCTGCTGCTTTGAAGTACCTGATAACATTCTTTGCCTTGCAAGGAGCCCATGGCTTGCTGTTCAACTTCTCATTGTCCTGTGGCTCTTCAGACTTCTCACTGTGTGGCTCTATGCTAATCTTCCCCTTTCTCTGCTTTTTTAAAGATGCAAACCTTAGGCTTTTCCAGGAGGTTAATCTTTCCATCCATAGAATTGTGCAATTTATTCGGGAAATAGTACCTTTTCTCCTTAAGCATGTCAAGTTTGGGCCTTACATATTTAGGGATGTCAGTGGGTCATGACATGAGTCTTAATAGGGCATATCGTGAGACCTCTGTGAGCACAGACACTCCCTCTGTTCTTTCACAGACAAAAGCCTCTTTTCTTCATGTGGCACCCAGAGGTTTATAGTCCTGCTTTTTATCCAAAGGCATCTCCTGCTCTAAGAATCCAAAGCAGTCATGGCTCAATGGCTGGCATTTGGGAAAAGTCACCTATCTCTCTAGGCAAAATTTTGGACTCCCTAGAATCAGAGGAGCTGGCCTTCACTGGACAAGGCATCTTTTGTGAGAAATAGAAATGGAACCATCAATACCCAAAGGTTTGTGGAACTTGTTTATGGCTCATCTGTATTAATAGGCTATTAACTTGGGAGGGGCACCTCCTGCTTCACCTACTTAGAACAAAATTGCTTCTGTGATTTTTAAGAACTATTTTGCAACACATTTAATGGAATGGTTAGAGGACTGACTAACAGGTGATTATAGTGATAACACATGCTTAGAAATGATAAAATCGTGAATAAATCTTCTGCTACGTTTTAAAAAGGAAAGAGGGAAAGTCACAATTGTAAGTGGAACCAAGAAAGAAACAATTCATCATGCGCAGAACATGTAATGGAGCAAAGTTACTCACAGGTGTTTGCAGTGCCTTTGGGGATAGGGAGGTAAGAGCCTGGACTCCAAGGTCGGCCCTGATAATTCTTCTTGCATTTCCCACAGTCTGGACCAGTTGTGTTGTGCTCACATTCACATGTCAGCTTGCTGTTGTCATATACACACACAGTGGCATGCAGGTTACACTTGCACCTAGGCAGAGGAGAGAGAGACAAAGAGTTCTCTGTCAGTCAAGCTGGTCTTACAATTCTAGGTACTAGGCATCATGTGTATCTTTCAACCCATGTATCATTTTTGTGATCCATACAAATGAGTGGTGAAACACATGGAGACCTTCAGGCTTAGCTCTAAGGATCTCTGACAAAGGGCTTTTGGAGAAAGGGTTGTTGAGATGTAGTTATCTTCACTCTACATTCTGAGGAAGCCCGATTCTAGTCTATTCTTTGGGGGCCTGAAGTTCTCCTTGGAGAGCTGTGCTCCTAAAGACTTTCCTCCAAAGCCATCCAAAATATCGTTTCCAGTGGATGGCTCATCTGTGATATCAACATTCTGAAAACTTTGCCAGTTTCCTTTGGCTTTAAAGAAAGATGTTATCTTTCTCAAATCACAGAGACAATTCTCATTTGGTCAAGAAATGCCACTCAGTCTTTTTCTAAGGACTCAGAAGCTTATGATCAGGCTTTCTCATTAGGGACTAAATAATCACACAAACTTTTGCATCAAGTCCTGTCCCCACCCCCTGACCCTAGGGGAGATGAGACACCAATCTTTATACTTTCCATTCTCAATACATGGCAATAACAAGCTCCCTCAGAAAAAGGCCAACTGAGTCTAGCAAGAGGTGCTTCGAATCCTAAAAAGTACAAAACAAACCAACGTGTATATATGTAACAGTGATTTGAGGCTACTAACTGTGACATTAGAGCTGTGACTTATTAGAGGCAACAATGGAAGACATAATTTCCCTAATCCATTTCCAGATTCAAAGTCTTTGACTAAAATCAAGAAGGCTAACTTGCTATTCGTCAAGGCAGAAGGTAATAAAGTGTCTCACATCCTTTTCAAGCCATATCCTCTGGGAAGGTAAAACCTACACTATCAGAATGACCATGAGTAGGATTGTACCCACACAGAGCAGAATGACCATGAATAGAGATAGATGCATGCCCACACAGAGAAGGCCAGGGATAAAATACCAACATACGTCAGACTTCAGAATTTAAAATGTCACCTGTGTGTAGGTGTGTTAAAATGAGAATCTTCTGTGAATTAGGTAAGAACAACCAAACCCAAGTTTCATAAAGACAAATACTGCGGTGTTTTGTGTATTTTCTTTGGAGAAAGATGTCATAAACCAGAAGAAAGTAACAAAACACTTTTTCATAGGTTTAAAATGGAATTGTTTAACAATTGTTATTTCTACAATATCTGCTTGGTAATGGCTATTTTGATGCAAATAGGCTCATATTTATGACAAGGAAGAAAATGAATGGGTATGACTGTGACCTAGAGACCCTTGGCTCTCTTCTAATAAGGTGCAGTTCCCGAAGCAATGATCATTCAGCCAAATATCTCTGGGAAACCCGGGCCTCAGTTTCCTAATGACTCTCTTAATAATGAATAATACTTCTAGCCATTGTTCTCCCTCTGTGTATTCAGTATTTATGTTAAGATGGAATAGTCACATTAAAATAATAGAAATCAAACTTAAATATAAATAGCATCTTTAGAGATTTGCGTTTTTACCATCTGCCTAAAAGGAGAAAAATAATTCATTTGAGCAGATAGTGTTTAATTGTGAACTAGGCCCTAGAACAATCTTAGATATGCAGGCAGTTACATGTGCTGGTGTGTTTTATTAAAAGATCTTCTTCTTTCCTGACATTAGCACCTTTATTTATGGATGTGTTTATACATATGGAGGATGTTTGAAATCCAAGTGACAGAAGCACCAGCTCCTACTGATTTAACATCCTATCTGGTGTTAATGATTTCAAATGAGGAAATGAACAATGTGACCCCCCCAAAGAATATGCTTACTTTGTGTTTGAAGACTGAGAATGAAACACTCCATGTGAAGTGGATTATTTATCTTGCAACTTTCAGTATGTGCACACTCATAGCTCTTCTTTGAGGTCCATGCAATTTCCATTCTAAAGACATTATATCAGTTGAGAAAGGTATTCTTTGAATAACAAAAGGAGATGAAAGGAGAATAGATGAATTGTTGCTACTATTTTTTCTTATATTTCTGGCAGTAAAGGACGTATTCTCACCTGTATTAAAGCTTGTTATTGAGAGTTCAACCCTGTATATAACCCTTAACCAAAACTCATATGTATTTCCAGTATTACTATTCTGAATAAGTTACTTCTGTGTGTTGGTTTAGAAATTATTACTTAAATTTTTGTAGTTTAAAAAAATATCAACAGAATATATGATCCTTTTTATCCTCTGGAAAGAGTAGTGTCTACCTTGTACCTGGTCATCTCCAGCTACTTCCTTGTTTTAATTCTGAGTTTCTGGTGCTGTGATAAAACACCATGGCTGAAGACAACTTGTGGAAGAAAGGGCTTATTTCATTTTATAGCTTATAGTCAATTATCCAGGGAACTCAAGGCAGGAATTTAAACAGGAAAGGAACCTTGATAGAAGAACTGAAGTAGAAGCTATGGATGGTCTCTGCTTACTGGTTTTGCTCCTCCTAACTTCTTTGGCTTGCTTTTTTATATACTCCAGGATTACATGCTCAGGAGTGGCACTACCGTTAGTGAGCTAGGTCTTCTCACATCAATCATTACTCAAAAAATGCCCCACAGACTTGCCTACTAGCCAATTTCATGGAGGCATTTTCTCTATTGTGGATATAAGTTTGAAAGATTCCAACCAAACTTCTGGGTTTTCCTTTCCTGTTCACACCTCTTTCTGAGTATTTTGTCTCAGGAAGTTTTATATTGGTCAACTTGACTTCCTTCATCTCAGTAAACCAAGAATGGTTACTCTCTATCACTTTCATGCTCCACTTAACTGGTCATCATCACTCCATATTCCATCAAGTCCTCAGATTTATGCTCTTCCAGTATCTCTCCACCAATAGTTTTAGCAGAGATTTTTATCCTTGATAATGGTTGTCACTGTATATTACTTAGACATTTATGAAAATGCTACAGTTACACTTCTCAATCACTTTCTTACTTAAATGTCATTGGGTAATTCCTGGCTTACAACTATTGTAAGATTTTAAAATTATTATCAGAATAGAGACTAAACTCTATGGTATGCCCCCAACTCTCTCTGCAATTTACCTCTTTTCTCCTTTCTAGCTTCACTGTTAAAACTCCTAACTCTTTCATTGGGTTTTGAACTTACATTCAGGTACTCTTACAAGTTATTTCTTCTTCCTTCAACATTGTATTGTCTATCCCATATCATTTTCATCTGGATAATTTTCTTCTGATGTGAACTTTAAGAGATCTGTGCCTAGTTCTAGGATGATATTTAAATACCATTTGTCAATCAACTAACTAAATGCCTAATTCCATCCTGTAGAATGCTGATCTTCTGTGTGTCTATATGAAGCCCATGATCTCTCTGCAATAGATAAAATTGTTTTTCAGTTGTTTTTCTGTTGTTGCCCTCACTGAGAGAGAGAAGTCATGTCTATCTATTTATTGTTACAAACTCAGCATATAGAAAGTTTCTTGACACATTATAGATGATTAAACAGGTGGATAGAAAATAAGTAAACTCCCCGAAGGTAGGAAATTCATGTGGATGCCATACTATGTATAGCATGGCAATAGATTAATAATAGAGTTAGTAAGCATCGGACAATATCAAACACTCTATGATATATGCTAAAAACGGTCACATGCCTTGCTATTACTTTTTCATAAAGCTCACTGGTAAGGTCTTATAAACCCAATTTAGTTTAATTTAACCTCTTGAGGACTTGCCAGATGACTGAAATTGAACCTAAAAGCTCTTCTATAATGATCCCAAAAGATCTAGCAAAAGGACACAGCTCAAGGGAGGGTATAATGGTAAATATTATACTCATTGTAAGGCCTGTGTTTTTTATCTTCAAGTCTTCATGCTGGGACAGCAAACCCTGTTTAGCTGGAGCTTGGAGGAGCCTTGCTTTGGCACTAGATACCATTTATATGTTCCAGAATTAAATCTGCTGACCCTGGGTGGATTTCCAGCTTTCCTCCCTAGTCCTTGTGACAGTGATGTGCAAGGGCCAAGGGTTGACAGTGCATGCTGTAGCACCACGGCTTTGCCCTGCATTGGGAAATAGTTCCCTTTCCCTTTTCACAGTTCACTTTATTCTCATCCCTCCCTCTCCAATCAAAAGCTGAAATCCTTTATTTAGAACCCTTGCCAACCAGACTGACTTTTATTCTAAAGGTAAATAAATAAATAAAAATGCATTTCAGTGTTGAGAGATTGCTCTCAATTCTTGGTATCATGACCTCTGGCCTTATGATGGGTTGAAGGCAGATTTCTGAGCACCCCACTTGTCCCTGACAGATTTGTTGTTCATTTTCATTGTCATCCAGCTCCCACACCTACTGTCACAGGCAGGAGAGGAACTGTACAGGTGGAGAGTCTAAGTCTTTGATAATAGCCACATATCTGATGTTCTGATATCTGCTATTCTCTGGTGTTGTTTACATACAGAAAGCACATATGAAGATGTTGCAGATAGAACTAATTGACTTGCCTGTACCTTGAAGATCTATTTGTCTGCAAGTGACAAATAGCAGACATTGTCAAACAAGAGCTACTCTTCCAGACTTTTAAACAAAAATAACCTCTATTCTGTGCTCCAAACTTAATGAACACCAATGTGTTCTCAGTTTCAACCAGGTCTGTACTTCCTGTATTTTAGTGACCAGCTGTCATGAGTCAATTTAATCTTGCTTATAAAATCGCTCCAATGTTTAGTTCTGTGCCACCTGCCAGTAGGTATGAAAAACCCATGCAGTCTGCCAGGTTTTTCTTTATAACTTAATATATCTATTCTGGGACAGAATTTCCTACCAGCCAGAGGTCTGTATAGTCTATTAGAAATGTTTCCAATAGGGAGACTGGGACTAGGGGAAGCTTTCTATCTAAAAAGTAAAGCAGAACGTAAGGTCAGGTTTTGCCTTGCAGTTCCTGGATTTATCTAATCTTTCTCCTGGGAG